TTTCGGTGGCGTTCACGATCCAAACGTTTCTACCGGGCTCGGGTGATGCATTTGTTGGATAGTCAGGTCTGCTTGGCTGTGCTAGTTAAAGGGCGCTCGAGCTCGATCCAACTAAATCGGATTTTGCAGCGGCTTGCAGCACTCCTGCTGGCCTGTGATGTCTTGGCTCTGTTTGCATACATAAAGTCTGAATTCAACCCAGCAGACCTACCTTCGCGTCGCCATGGCAAAGCGAGCGTCTGTTGTGACAGTGGCCGCCCAAGCTCAACGAAAAAAGCTGCGAGCCTGCGTGATAACCTGGTCAAGCCTGCAACTAGGTCACGCTATTCCAGATGCTTTCATCTGTTTGTCTTGTTTTTGCGGCAACAACTGGGATACCTCCCAGCGACTTCGGCTGAATATGATGTGTGGCTTTGTCGATACATCGAGTTTTTATGGCGTGAAGGGGAGTCCAAAGCGGTGGCCTCAACAACGCTGGCAGGAGTGCAATTCTTTGTACCACAGCTGCGCAAGCAACTCTCACAGAGCTGGAAATTGAAGGCCAAGTGGGACAGGTTGGAATTGCCGTGCCAAGCGTCTCCAATGACACCTCAAATGTTGTTTGCTTTTGCAGCAATCGCTTTTCAAAAACGCTGGGATGCGTTTGCATGGTTGTGTATTTTGATGTTTCTTGGTTTCTTACGTACAGGGGAAGCCTTGTCGTTGCTGGTTAAGCATGTCCAGGTTTCAGCTAGCGGGGTAGTGCTCACCCTCTGTGACACCAAAGGCGCTCAACGCGCTCCACAGGAACACTTTGAAGAAATCCTCATTGAGGATGCCCTTGCTACTTCGGCAGCAAACGCTTTACTTAAAAACAAACGTCCAGGTGATTTGTTGGCGGGCTTGTCTACGTACAAGTTTCGCCAGCATTGGTTTGACATAGTGTCCCATTTTCACTTGCAAGGGCTACATTTTCATCCATATTCCTTGCGCAGAGGGGGTGCGACATATTATTTTCAGCGCACTGGGAACATGCATCGTACCTTGCTGCTGGGCCGTTGGAAACACCTCAGCACAGCCCGTTTATATCTTAAGGAAGCTCGGGCAGCAGTGCAGGACTTGACCTTGCCCACACATGTTCAATCCTCCATCCGCGCAGCGGCTCTAAAAGGTCGGCAGGCGTTGCGCTGCCAGTTGGGAACGCATGGAAGGGGAAAGACTTTCATTGACCCTGGTAGGGGTTGAATGTGATGCTTTATGCAAGGCCCTGGATGTGGCCTAATATGGTTTGGGGATTCAGGAGCTGCAGTCGTCTCCAGCCTGCTGAAATCCATGCTTCTTTCATTTCACTTGGGAGGCTGAGGAGACATTTGCCCATCATCTTGTATGGTTCTTCATGCAGAGCCTGAAGGCTTCAAACATCAAACAATTCTGGCGCAGTGAAAAAAGAGAGCCCTCCCTGAGTGCATGGAAATGAAGGATGGCAAGCTTGATGGAAGCGATGCCGTGACCGGGACCGCTGATGCGAAAGCTGCTGCGGGGCCGCCTGAAGTGAGGTCCAACAGCAAGAAGAATTGCGTGTCGTAATTGCTGATTTCACCGTGGAGTCATGATGCATGTCTAATTTGCACAGCCGGAGGTGCTTTGCTAGGTCAGGCAGCTGCCTGTAGTATAGCTCGCGTAATCAAGCTATCAACAGTGGCCAACGCCAAGCCTGCTGTGAACATGAACGTTGCTTGTTGGCAGAGCTCAGCTGTCGCTGGGACCGATGCCTGAGCCAGCAATTTATGAAGCCGCGCACGCGCTGCGCGTTTGTCTTTGTGAGAAGCTTGATGTACCTGCTGATTTGCAGGCATCTGTGGCTGCCGCCTGCTTGCAGGGAACAAGGCGCGTTGATGTGACGTCAACGCTCAAAATGAAGGATTTCTGCCGTGACTTTTGGCGTGCTACTTGTTTGCGTCTGCAACGAACTTGCCGCTGCGTGAAAGGTTTGCTAAAGCACACGCAGGTATTTCAAGGCCAGGATGGGTCCGAACATGGGCTGGAGTATTGAAGCACAATGGAGGTATGTCGCAGCTTGCCTTTGACAAGTCAAAGTCAATGCAAGAGTCTGATCTCCAAAGCTCCTGCGCCTTGGTCGTCTGACACATAGTCAAGATCTGGCAGGGTTTGCGGTTTTGTTTCGGAGGCGCGCTTGCTTGCCAGACGATTCAGACGATCGCTAGCGACTTGATGAGCCTTCTTGTTACCACGACCTCTGCCTGGCTCCTTGGAACAAGGCCTTCCAGCTCTTGGGGTTATGATGGCCTTGAAGTCTTTGATGATTCCAGGAGGCCCTTGCAGGGGCTCTCGAGCGATTTGCTGAAACTCGAGTGGGAAAGGGTTTATTTCCGCCGCGAGCCGCGAGACCGAAGCCTGCGAAGAATCACCCCGGCTAGTTTCTTTGGGCTTCGGTTTCGGCTTTGGCTTAACTGAAGAGATGGTAAGCCTGCAAGCTCAAGCGCTGCTGTCGCCAGGCCTTCGTTAAAGCATCTTTTTTTGGGTGTCTGCTCGCGGTCACGTTCTTGCTTATAGCTTTGGCCTTCGGGGGTTTCTTCCTGAAGGTGAGCTGAGCGAAAGTTTGAGCATGTGCCTCCATTGATGCTTGCGCTGCAGCCTTGAGGATACCGTCGTAGCGTTCAAACCACTTTTGGATCTTGTCTTAGAGCTTCTGCAGCTGCGCATCTTGGCGGGCTTCATCCCTGAATAAAGTTGAGCATTGTCTCTGGTAAGTGACAATGAATTTCTGGCATGCCCTGGCGTGCCATCTCCGGGTTGCCGTGTGTAAGCTCAAGAACCAGTGCGCGTCTTAGCATCTTGCGTAGCAGACTTATCCTCCCGTCCTTCGCCGAGAAGTGGGATCCATTCAATCCATTCCATGAGCTTTTTTTGGCGTTTGCTTTGAAGGGGCCACTGCCGCTCCTTCGAGGCTTCATCTTCAAAGGATCTCTGAAGTTCGCCTGCGTATCGATGTCCTTGTATTTTCGCTGCAGATCTGCTTGGTTGACGCGGTGTTGGAGTGTGGATTTGTACTCCTTCATCCAGTCAACCAAAACTAACTAGCTTCAGATCGGGATCCACGAGGCACACAGCGTCGAGCAGGCCTGGGTACTGCTGCGAACTGACGCGTTGTTCTTGAAGAAGCGTCAGCTGTTGCTTAAGCAGAAGATTTTGTTGCTGCTGAGCTCGCGACGGATCTTCTAGTGTGATCGAACCAGGAGGTAGATTGACACGTAAGCGTCATGCCCCAGTGCCATGGTATCTTGGTGGCGGCGATGCTGCTCTGCTTCTGCTTCGTCTGGCTTCCAGCGGAGTAACTGTCGAATGCGGTGTCGACATGACGAAAATTCTAGAAGCTGCTACAAGCGCACTGTGTGAAGTGCGCTCTCTAGCCGGCAACTCTCAAGCAGCCTTTTCCACAAGGGTGCCAAACAGGACTACGCGATTCGCTCTCGTGGAGCTTTTTCAAGCCTTGCGCCTGAGAACATGCTGCGGGCGCACGTTCCCAAGAAGCGGCTCAACGCGTGCTGAGCATTTCAGTGTGTGATGCTATAGAAACTTTTATAACTACCGCTGATGCCACAGGCGTGCCGCTGAGGATAAAAGTCGCTTGAGAAGCTTGGAGCCACTAGCTGTAGTGGATCGCAGCCGAGGGACAAGGATTCTAAGATGTTCCCCTAAGACCGGAAGAGAAAAGGGCTATTCTCTTTGTCGTTGGTCATTGGTAGGATTGTCTGCGCAGATGCGGAGTCACGCAGAGCCCAACAACACAACAGGAGTGATGGCATTGCTGTCTATGACGCAGCCCGTGCTTCAACAAACAATCCTGCGCATTCACCAAGGAGCAGCTTTTGGCAGAGCAGCCTTCGATGTGGTGCATGAGCCAACACATCATGAGTTGCAGTATGTTGCAGTGCTTGTATGTGATTGTTTTTGTCCCTGCTGCAGCAGTGGGAGATTGGATAGCCGATGCCTTCTGCCAGGATTGTCTGCTGACACGGGGACCTTCATGTTCCTTTTGCAGGGCGAGTGCTTCAATCTGAGGATATGTCATTGAGGGTGTTGACCCTCCAAGCATCAGTCTTTCTGAGGAGCAAGAGGCGACGACCAAGGCCTCCTCGTCGGATCGCGACGACGAGTCCCGGACATTGCTCCCCGGATCCTTGGATATCCTGAGGGTCAGCGGTCCCCTGTGCGCAGGAGGGCATGCGAGAAGTGCAAACCACGCCTGTCCCACCATCGGGCTCAATCGGGCACCCAAGGGTCCAGGAGTGAAGACCCAGGAGACAGACATGCCGTGCAGCGACTTACTGACGCAAAACGTAACTGTTTGAACAAGCTCGAGACATTCGAGACCATCGCCCGATGAACGATTCGATGGTCATGAAAAAGGGGGCGAAGCCGAAACATCGATCGAACGCACCCCCACCTCAAGTTGTAACAGTGGCATCGACAGAGGTTGTAAACCTGGAGGAGCCAGACACGCGGATGAAAACCCATCCAAGGAGAACAATCCGAAGGAGGCGTCTGTTCGGACCCGGGAGTTGGACACGACCACCGCGGTAAGGACGAGGGTTGTTGAAAATTTTGTCTGGCTTCCTTGACGTCGCGGCAGTAGCCGGGGGTGAAGTTCTGTTCCGCGAAGTGGCTGGGCAATGACGCTATCCGCCCACAAAGGGCAAGCTGAATGAAAATGAGAAGGGCGTGCGCAGCCCATGTCAAAGAGGATTGTGCTGTTTGCGTTGGAAATGGGCTGGAATGTGATGTTCAGCAACTTTGCTGTGGTGTTGTCCTCTCTCATCGAAAACAATACAGAAGACGGCCACGCGAAAATAAGAAAGAAAAAATGAGACAGAGTCACGCAGACCGGAAGTGAAGAGGAAGGCTGCAAATTGCCGCAGAAAACCCACTCAGCTGATGCAACGGCTAGACATCTTTTTTTTTCACGTTTTGTTCTGCACCGATGAAATGTGCCATCTGAGGGCAGACGCGCGGAGTCTGTTCAAGCAAGGCCCTTGGCATGAGTTTCTGAAGGGCAAAGTTGGCTGACAGTCCTGAAATGTCCCGAACATGCTCCTGCAGCTCACGGCTGAATACTCTCTACTGGGTCCGCAGGTTCGACTGGAATGGCTTCCAAAAACTAGCTACCTCACTGACATGAATGCCACCTCAGCCCTAACCCCTAAACCGGAGTCGCTGCACCACCTGATCAGTGGACTAACAACCAAAGCCATTTTTTCCATGTCGCTCCAGGGGTTATGGAGGTCATTGCTCAGGCAGGTCTCAGAGGGTGTTGTGGGCGAGGTATTGCCTTTCAAAAGGGGCCTTTATTGAGTTACCTAGATCAACTGCCCTTTTTTTGCCAACACTGAGACTCATTGACACAGACAACAGCGGCAGCGTCACACCGGACGAGTTTGAGTCTCAGTTGTGGGTCTGCGTGAGACACTCGCCCGTTACAATGAAACACGAAGATTAAATACTAAAAAACAAGTTGAACCTGCCGCAATCCCTCTGTCTGTTCTTTGGTGTAAAGGTTTTGCTTATTTATCCGACTGACCACATCACCTGGAGAGCAATTGCACGTTCTGCAGGCTGATGCGAGGTTGGTTGCGCCTGCAGGGCCCCGCCAAGGTGCGCTGCAGCTTTGTTTCGCGGATTTGCTAGCTCTGCTAGCTGGATGCTGTGGAGGCGTTGGACTTGTCCTTGCTGCTGCGGGACTCCAGTCGAAACTTTGACTCTGTCCAAAGGCCCGCTTTGAGTCATTGAGTTCTTTGGTCCAAGTGTATGCAGGTTCCGTGGATGCTTTAGATTTTGTCTTCAATAGACTGCCAATGTGCAGTGCGCTGCAACTAGCATCAACAGTTTAACGTAGCTGCAGGCACGGCATGTGCTCCATTCAGACCAGCGTGAGCTCCTGGCAGTAGCAACTGCGTTGTGCACCGATGTGCAAGGCACTAGTTCCAAGCCTACTGAAGTCACCAGCAGCTTGTGCCTGGCGCGATGACTATCAATGTTTGTTTAAACAATAGGTCAGCCTAGGGCAGGAAGTTTGAGGTGAGTGATAGATGCGCCGGATGTGTGGCATTTGCCGAGACAACTGCACGAAATACGCGTTGCTGTGTCCTGGCTTCTACGATCCATGGTGCGGGCCTTGGCGATTCCTGCCTGACTTGCCCAAAGCTCTCTCGGGCTTTGCTGCATATTGGAGAAAAGCGGGGGAACGACAAGCAGCACTCCGAAGCTTGCTTAGAGCTCAGCAGTCTGATGAAGCAGGGATTCCCCAATCGAAAATGCGACTCTCACATAACAGAAATCCATTGATGGTTCATCCAGCTGGACAAGGTACGGCAGTTTGGATGAGGCTGAGGGCTATTTAGATATGGTCTAGTTAGACCCGGTTGGAGCTGTGACAAGGCAAAAGGCAAGTGCATATTGGTGGGTGTTTCTAGTAGCAAGCCATGAGCTCTCAGGAAGCCAGCTTGTTCCCCAATGATCCTACATCTCCGCAGCTTGAGTGTCCTGGCCTGCGATTAGAAGCCTCCAATTCTCCTTCGGGGCGGGGCCAATACTCACCTGCGCTAAGATTTTTTCGGATCTTTCACGGAACTCACCTCTCAGAGAAATGCCACTGGTTAGGGAGCACTATTTGTTTTACCGCTTTGTTTGCAGCTAGGGAGTCGATGCGAAGGCGACTGGGGCGGGTTGGCACAATTCTTGCATATACTCGTGTGGGAATGCGCACAGAATGGACGAATCCAAATTACTTCCGCTTGCACACCGGGTTGAGCAACTGAACCCTCAACTGCCATGCCTGCGATTTCATGTGAAGGATTGGGTGTCAAAGGTCGCCATGATGATGCTTTTGCTGGCGACCAGGGCTGAGCAGGTGGAGATCACGGCAAGGCATCGGCGTATGGATGTAATGGAACAATGGAAAGGGATATGAGCTGAACAGACAGAGGCCCACTACCATCCAGCTGTTGGCAGACCTTACTTACCAAGCAGGCAAGAAACACATGCGGGGCGACAGCATTCAGAAGAAGCTCGTGGCGACATACTGGGAAGATCAGCACTTGACTCGTGATTTGGAAGTGGCTAGGTAACACCACAACGGAAGTGCTCGCAAGTGCTCTGTCGACCCATGATCAGGACATGATGGGTGAAGCTGCGTGCACGTGGCTTGCAGATGAAGCAATTGTGAGTCAGTCTTTAGTGACAGGATATGCCGGGAGGCAGAGGTCTTCAACGCGCAAGGCTAGAGATTGTGCAATGCAGTTATGGAGCTCCCAAGATGAGGGCACTGTTCGACAGAGGGGAGACAGCAATGCAAAGTGTTTCTGCTTCCAACCAGCACCGGTGATTTGTTTTTAAGTGGCCTCGGGCACGTTGCTGGAGCAAACAATTCTAGTATTGAGCTGAGTTCCGTGAAGGCAGATGCAATGTATCACTGTAGAGGCGTCAGTGGATGACATGATCTTGACAGCTCCGGTGAGTGAGCCAAACATGGAAACGTACAGGACGAACACCCACGACAAAATCCAGCCCAAAACGCCCAAGCCTGGGCAAACACAGAGGGCCCCGTTTCCAGTTCACCATCCAGTGAGTTGCTGGAGCGGCGCAGACCAATTGGGTGATATCAGCGGCTGATTGCAAATCTGCATGCTGTGCAAGGTTCGGCCCAGGCTCTGATTGCTGGGATAGAGATGAAGGAGTGAGCAAGAGCAAGGGTGGTGTAGGCAATGTTTGTTTTGGAAAATCAAACTGGAAGCAGTGAAAGGCTTTTCCAGTGCTTTGCCTGATAAAAGTTGGGATGTCTGTTGAACACAACAGCGGCTTCCGTAACAACAGTTCAGACATGCCCACCTAGCTCAGTCATTGGTTGCTGGTGGCGTTGCTGTCACCATTTCTTGCCAGTGTTGCTGCTTAAGGCTTGTTTTCACGTGTTTCCCAGAACTTCACAAACCAAGGGAAGACAGAAAGGAGGGACCATACATTGGGAAATTGTAACAGCGTCGAGGGCAGACAGCAGAAGCGAACCCAGTTGAAACAGGCAAAACTGCATAGCTGGGGCAGAAGTTTAGCGGAGATACGAGATTGAGCCGCATTCGTTTTTTTGATTGCTGGGGGGCCTGACGTGCAGTGAGATGTAGCACGAGGGAGGAGCCATGAGCGAGAGTGTGAGCAGGGGCAGGGATGGGGCACAGCTCAAGAAACGATAGGGTGATTGTCTGTCGAGTCCGATTCATTGTCCGGGCCCGAGAGAGAGGGATGAACACAGCAACATGCTGTATACTGATATGTGGAGCAGGTCCTAAAAATGCGCGGACTCCTGTAAGCCGGAGTCCTATCTACAAGTTCGAAAGCGCTCGCAAATTCAGGCATGCCCCGGCAGACCTGCTGCAGGAACCGGTGAGGCACGTTGAGTGGGCTAGCCATGCAAGCAGACAGGGGTGCTTAGCAGAGGAGCCAATATGTACCAGGTCGTTTACTTTGACGCCCGATCCAAGTCCCGTCCACAGGCGCCAATCTCGGCGGGTGCTCTTGTGCTGCAGCAGGGCCTTAGCCGTTCGGCAAGAAAGGGTTGGAGTGAACAGGAAGGGCCTTCAGCCGCCGACACCTGGATGGGCAAGGCAGGCATTGCTGGGCAAGTTGGTTGCATCAACAAAAGTATCAGGAATTTGGCAAACGCAAACTAAGAAAAATCATAGCTTACTTTCCTTGTGGCGCTGTCCAGAGAGAAAGGCAAAAAGTGGCCACAATAATGACACTGACACTCAATCGCTGAGGGCCCAGCTTGGTTTTACAAGTAGCTCCTCAGGAGGCAGGAGCTTCAGCAGAAGCAGCTGCTACAGTTGCTGAGCAACTAAGCCGTACAACACGAAATCCCTCCCCGATCTGAAGGACTTATTAAGCAGAGTACACTTCGCCAGTTACATCTGTTTATTTCAACATGAGGTTGTAGCTCTTTGAGGCCCGGCAGGTTGGTGACCAAGCATCAGCACATGTTTTGTTCTGATTGTGTCTCACCACCACATGCTGTATGTTACAGAACTTAGATGATCATGTTCCTTCGCCGGTCAGTCCTTCATCTCAACCTTCGGGCTTTAGCTTTCTCCCGCCGGGAGCACAGAGCTGGCCTCTTTTGTTGCTTAGCGTGTGCCCACTTCATGAGTGCCAAGGGACCACGAGAGGCAGAATTACAAATACCAGGCCGGCTAGCTTAGGAGCACAGACGGCCAGCCATTTAGCAGCGCCCCGTGATTGCTCATGGTTCCATTCGCCCACCACTCATATTTACTGCATGCAAATCCAAACTAGACCTTCACAACAATTTAAGCGGATTTATAGAATCCTGTTGCGTCCAGTTGAAGGTGCTACCACACAATTGAGCGACGGGGAAGCCTGTTTTGAAGCATGTTAGCTTCAAAGGCTTCATGAAGCTTGTCTACAGGGAAAGACAACATACTTCCATCATTCCAATCGAGAAGCGCGAAGCGTTGCTCAGAAGATGCTTGTGACCCCTAGGCTCCAGGAAAATCCTGGCACAATCGTGCAGCAAGGTAGGCGTCAGTTCTGAGAGATGTCTTGCATTTACATACCTCGCTTGTGGACCTCGTTTCGCTTGTCGGATGCGCTCTTTGGAGATTAAAGCAGTGTCATCCCAAGCCTGTTAACGGAATTCCGGTCAGGAGGGAACTGCAAATTCATGTTGCGCTGCAAACGCAGACGTCATGCCATGGCATCAGTAAGCCCCACATTGAAAGGCAGCACAGATGCCAAATGACCTGGTAATTCACCTTGAGGTCTTGAAATCTTTGAGGCACGTGGATGCAAGCAATGTGTCATCGGGCTTTTGCCAATTCAGGGCTCCTAATCTGGGAACCCTTTCCCTTACCTGTCCTTCCGTGAGCTGCGGCCTTCATGTGACATCATGACTGCTGCCCCTTCTTGACTAGACATAGGCTGCGAACGAAGAGTGAAGACTCTTTGGGAGCAGCGTCATGCGTCCGTGAGTGCTAGTACAGCATGCGGTGATTATGTCTGCCAGCCAACGAAAGTCGGCTGAAAGCTGTGTCAGCTAGGCGCCTCAAATAAATGTATGAAAGCTGCTCTACTGAAGCAGTGTGAATGGCATGCCTAAACCAGTCAAGTACCAAGAGCAGGGGTGAGCATATCATGCCACCAAAGTAGTTGTTGCTGGGGTCCTCAAATCAGTCTGCAGAAGTTCTGTGAGCTGGTGTCGCAAGTCAACATGGGGCCTGAAATGCAAAAAAACGCTTCTTGCTTGGCAGCAGGACCACTTAGTGCCGTGCAGCATGTTTTAGGCGTCATTTGGGACGGTAAAATAACCCCGCGCCTCTTCGCTCAGAATTGGTGGGCCCCTTAAGTTTTTGTCCCGTTCATAAAAAGTCGTTACCGATAACCGGAGGAAAATTACCGATAAGGACCATTCCTTTATAAGTTTTTCGGTCAGAGGATTTTTTCATTCCCGGTGATGTTCTTAACCGATAACGCTACCGATAACCTACCGATAACACATTTGAGCACTTGAGACCCCTCGGAAGCCCATGGCCCCGGCCAAGGCTGTACAGTGATGCGACTTAGATCGCCCGCTCGTAACACTCTACCGCTACCAGCCCGATGCTACAGTTCACTATCGTGGCATGTGCTGAACCTCTTGGATACGTCCCTGAAGAGCAAACCCCCAGTCAGAGGAAGTTTACCGATAACATTGTGTTAAGGAAACCAAGCTTCGGAGCGTTTTTTTTTACTGCCCCATTTGCTTTCAGAGGCAAAGGTTTAGCTTTGCGACTTCTTCCGCAGCTGCAATCCACGCCACTTCAGCGCCTTTTTCCTAGACTCTTAGACTGCCAGATGTGTAAGACTTTGTCCTTCATTAACTTGCTAGTGACAAAGTGTCATCATGCAAGAAGAGCAACATGTGCTCATTCTCTCATTCTGCTGCACTTGACGACCACAACCGAGGCCATAGTTGTGTTTTCGACAGACTGTGTTGAAGTCTTGTGCATGTCTTCGCGACCCAGCCGGCAATGGAAAGCCAAAGATCGGTCGTCAGAGGCCTCGAAGTCTGTCCAAGCCAAAAGCAGTTTGTGGCTTTTGACTTCGCCTTGATGCAACAACCGCAACGGGTGCTTTAATTTGTTTACAATACGCAGGTGCTCTTGGCAAATTGTAGCATTTGGCATTCTTATGACTTTCGCAGGCTTCAACTGGTGTGACTGTCCATGTTCAGGCGCCATGGACGTGGTGGGGCCCACGGGAGTTTGGTTTGAAAGTTTAGTGTAAAGATATGACCGAATTTCTCAAATCTTCTCCAGATCAGCCGAGCACCACTATCACCATTGAACTGTTGCCGCACCACACGACACGACATCAGAGGACGAAAAGCTATGTAGATAATTTTGCAGGGAGGGAGTATCTGCACCCTTTCAAAAGTCGCAGATGCTGTGTTTTACAGTGCCCGCAGCCATGTTCCTGTTCAGATATTTGTCATTTGGGACCATCGTTTCCAGCCAGAGGAGGCTTCTTCTTGCTGAACTGTATGCTTCAAATACCGCGCAGATTTTAACCAGAAGTGTCAGTGGCACAACTGACACATCCCCGGAGGGTATCAGGCAGACCTTGCCACTGCCGATGATGCGCTGCCGGCGCTTCGTGATGATTATGATGATGTTGCCATGGAGGGTTTTTTGGGTTAGATTCTTGGGGTTATCTTGGGGTGATGTTGGGGGCATCTTGGGTGGATCTTGGGGGGTTCTTGGGAGGGTTTCAGTTGGAGGGTTGCAGTTCTTTCAATGGGCAGCGAGGGCTGGGCTGCGTGCTCTTCTGGTTGTATGTGGTTTGTCTCTTCACGTCCTGTCTCGCCACTCCTTCCCAGCCCATGGCTCTTAAGTATTTTGATGATTGCTCATATTCTTCTCACCAGCCCTGCAACATGATGATTCCTAGCGCCTTTGTAATTACTATGATTGTTATTGCCGTTTTTCTTGGAGGGTTGTTATCTGTATGTCCATCGCTAGTGTTCCCTTTTTGTATTGCCAAGATTTTTATGCTAGTACGACAATCATTATTCTAATTCTTGTTATTCTTCATTATTCTCATTGTGCTGTCACATTCTCAATGCTATTTCCGCTTATACACCATTGCTGTTATTGTCTTGGCATTGATTTTCTGCCATTCATATTCCTGCTATTGCTAGTTAGATTGTTGTGGCAGTCATTCTTATTCTTGAAATATTTTTAAACCAGCAGTATTGTCATTTTAGGGTTTTCGCCTTTTTTGGCTAGTGAAAGGGGTGCTATTGGAGCCCGAGGCCGAAGAGGGGGAGGGTGGGTCGGATGGGGTTGGGAGGGGGAGACGGGCGTTCTTTTTTGTTTTGTCGTGTGTTGTATTTGCGTGGCCCCTCCCACCCTCCGACACTGCCACCAACAGCAAAACCGAACACGCCACTGCCCTAGCAGCGCACTCTTACAAACACTTGGCAGGAGTCGTCTGAGTGAGAGTTTCTTAAAGCGAGTTGCTACCTGGCGAAAGGCAGAGCAAAGCCCCAGTCTTCCAGCACCTAGTGCGGGGAACGGCTATGCCCAGGCCTGGTCCGAGACATGTCAGAAGTGAAGTCTCCTTCTGCTATACTGTCTTCTGCACTATACAACCTGGTAATGCAAAAGCTGCTAGAGGACTCTAGGAGGTTACAGTGGGGCCGCAGCCTGGTATGAATTCTCACCTGCCCCGCTTCGCTGATCTGAGACATCAACGAGAAGCAAGCAGGTACTCATTCCAGGCGGTCCTGGGTTACCTCAGCTGCATCTAAGCACTTGTGTGCAGGCGGCTGGCGCAACAGCTTCAAGCTCCGAATCTGCGTTGTCCCGGCAAGACCATTCGCATCAGAGGCGGCAGCGTCATCGAAGGCACCAACATGCGGTACACAGTGCCGGCTGTGGCAGTTATGATAGAAGCCTTGGAAGCTACTACCAGTATCAAGACTGGACCTGGCATAACAGCCCATGGCAAGTGTGGCCAACTTGGGTGGCCTTTCCTGACGGCAGATGGCCACAACCAGCTTCTTGACCATATCTTAAATGACTGCAGCAACGGCCACAGGTTTGATGTACCGCTGACGCTTCAGAGCTGTAGAGCGAGTGGCTGAGGAACCGGCTGCTGCATATGCTGAGCAACAGCCTGCAGATACCGGCGGCGGCCAGGGACAGCTGGACCCACTGCACCTCAACTGTCATGCTAGGTCGACAAGATGAACATCTCAGATCAGTCCCGTACGTTAGTGCCTTGCAACTGTCCAAGATCTGGAAAACAGTAGATTGTCGACTCACAGCAGTTACAAGGCTTGAAGTTCTGACGGGATTCGAAGGTTTTCCACCATGTTGCCTGCAATCCGAGCTTTTTTACTGCTTCAATTTTGTGATATTTTGTGCTGGATGTAACGTCGAGCTTCGTATATGATATTGCAGGGCGACTCAGGGTCTAGCTAAGGCTAAGGCGGTTTGAACTCTAAATGGGACGCATTTGAAGCAGATGAAAGAGGAGCCAATCTTTTCTTTGGCCACCAACCCTGTAAACGTGCAATTGTTTGATAGTGTCAGGATACATAAGCGAGGTGCCATGCTGTGCTGATGTTCATCGCCTAGGATCTCAGAATCGGCCGAGCTGCAGTCCACAGAGGAGGTGCTCGTGGTACCAGACCCGAGCCTTCGTCAGACTTGGTGAGCAATTTGACGCTGTTGCAACTGCGCACAGCACTGACTTACTTGATATCTTCCCTAGGTGCTGGATCGTCATGATATATTCTTCCCTCATACCAGAGATCCGTAGCGCTAGATTACACAAGGATGAGCTGTGGAAATGCGGCTCAGCAATCACTGTACTAGTCCTGCCAGACAAAGGCACAAGTTGGAAAGTGCGTCATGCTCAGGGTTGAAGGTGCCGTGATCACGAGAGAATTGCAAGGACGCAGCCGGGGCATGATGATGTTGGCACTGTGCAACTCGGATGCGCATCTCAGTGGAGCAGGCAGGCAGTTTTCGGCCTGCTTAGATTCATTTGAGGCTCAGCTCCGATGGAGGGACAGCTGCAGATGCAAACGTGATGGAAATGCACAGCCCGCTGATCGACGCGTAACTTCGCCTGCAAGTGGAGGATGTAGAGATGCTCCACCCAGTTTTATATTGATGCTAGCTTTGGGTCACCTGTTCATGACCGTATACAACATGCCTCGAAGCCCTACAATTGTCTTGTACAGCGCTGTGGCTTTGATGGCATACCCGTTCTTCGCTGCAGCGTGGGGATCACAATGCCAAATGGTTTCTCCATGTTGGAAATAAGGTCCATGTTGGCAGAGACGCCTCCTGCAGAGGAACAGCCGCAGGCATTTCGCTTGTCTCATTCGAATAATGGCTGGATGTGCGCAACGCAGAGTAGTGTGCATTGACTTGATCTGGGTTGGATCAAGCCCTTGAGGCAATGGCCTCGTCCAGCTGTCTGAACTAGGAGCCTCAGAGGTTTTCAGTGATATGCCGTCCAGTCACTGGTATAACATTCATACCGTTTGTCGAAGCTTGTCTTCTGTTCCGTGCAAGACCAACATGCAAGCTCTGTTCCCAATGTGCATTGACTGGAGCCAAGCAGGTTAAGATTATGACCACACTGGAGTTGGGGTTGGTATGCATGCGTTGCCAGGCATTCCCGTGGTCAAGTCTTGAAAACGCTTGAAACTGTTTCAGGTCATGTTCAACAAGCCGGTGTCATGGCTGACCGGAGCCGCCTGCTGCAACTAAATGACATCATCACATCACGGGGCAGTTTCTCAGTTTTTCCGCAGGGTTCTTTAAAAAGGGTTTGGGATCTGGGATAAGGAGTCACTCAAAGACATGACAGATGGCTGGGAACTGTCGACCCTCGCATTGTTTGTCGTGTAGCGAACGTGCCAATAGACACAAGCATCAAGCAGGCTTGGGTTCGAGGCTCCTGACGGTTTGCCTCCCAAACTTTTCTTGGCATTGTGCTGGCACCTGTGACAAGGCCGCGAATCCGTCAGTATACATTGAGGAGCGAGCCGCCTGTGAATCCATGTTGCTGTGTGAGTCCTTTGTCGCAAGATTAGCAAGCACCGATGATTGGCTACCAAGCGTCTCAAGTTCAAGCACTGCAGTGATGGAAGCTACTGTGGACTTGAGTTGAGAAAGAGAACAAACAAGATCTGGGAAATGCACGTGCTGCTAGTTGTCGGCTTTGGCTCCCTGAAGGAGTTCTTGGCCCGGCCACTGGAAAACTCCGAGCATGAGGTCTTTGAGGATTGGGAGGCCGATCGCTCTGCTCTGCTTGCGGTTCCCTTTCTGTGGATGCAGGGCTTAATGGAGAGTACATCCCTTGGTGGATTGCAAGAAACGTCTGGAAACATTGCACCTCTCCCCCATTAGGGCCATTACAGGTAGAGTCTAGAGATATCGAAGGCCAAGATGGTTGATGACATGCGGTGCCAAACACACTACACTCATAGGGTTCGGCTCACCTCACGCGAATCATATTTGCTGTGCAGGACATGGCCGAGGAGATCTCTGAGAACCATGAGCCATGGTACAATGCATCGTTCCTGTTCCCTGGCTTTAGACTGTGCACCATTCGAGCTCTGACCTTTCCTTGCTGGCAGGATTCAATATCGCTCGCAGAGTCCAGTGGGAAGCGTTTGCCCGGAAGGTGCGCTTGTTTAAGTCAGAACAGCTTCTCTTTGAAAGATGTTTGCTGCCCAGCAAGGTCTGCCAACTTTGACTCGGCGGCCAAAACCTTCGTGGCCTGTCCGTCTTCCAGGACTTCTGCTGCTTGAGCGTGGAACGCAGCTTAGAGCTTCTTCTGCTGGGCACGGCATAGGCATGGCTCTAAAGCTGAAGCCACATGTCTCAGGTGCACAGAGAAGCACGTCAGAAGCAAGCCCATTCCTGGATCATTGCTGGTAGAGAAACACACGCTGATGCCCGCACAGAGGGAAAGTGTCGTGAACCATCTTCAAGGCAAGAAATTTCTCTGTCAACAGTTTTTAGCTGACTCCTGTTCAGGATATGATCTGGTAGCAGCCATCCGGGACGTGTCCGGTGAAGGCGGAAACGTAGAGACTTCAGCTGAATGGATTGAATTTGATAGTACAAATTAGTGGGGCTGCTTGCCTAGTCATGCATGAAGCTTGCAATTGGTTTTGGTTTCTGCCGAAGAAATGAAAACACGCACGACATGTTTGAGCTGGATGCCAAGCTATCTCGAGCTGTATCCAGGTGGGCTATCTCTTGCCTTCTGTCATTGAAAGTTACACATTTTTTCAGTCTTCTCAGCCGACCTTTATCACGAACCAAAACATCGGCAAAACATCGGTTTAGATACGTGGTTTCTGTTCGTTCAGCACCTGGCTGTAAATCAGTAAAACACATACTTGCGAGACTTGACGAGGCCTGGCGCTGGGCCTCTCACCTGTGAGTGCCGCAGAAAGCTTCGGGCAAGTCTTTGATGCAGGTGCATGCCATCGGCTGAAGGGTGCCGTGCTGAAAGCCTGTGCGAGTAGTCAAAATCGAGATATTTCAGATGAACTTGCTGGAATAGGCTGCAAGAGGTGACACATAGTAGCTGCAAAAGTTTTGGATTGCCAGGCATATCTGCAAGCGGCTGCTGGGACAAGGTTGGATCTACTGGACAGTAAGTACTGTGCTTTCAACCTTGAGATGTTGACACGCTTGGAATTTCGATAGGGGTACGGAAAGCAAACCAGCTACAGAAATCAGATGGGGTTCCAGAAAACCTCAAGCCCTGATCAGCCGGCACAAGCTGGCTCTGCAGGTGGAGCTGGAACCCTGGTCCTTGCTGCATCCTGCTGGACCTCCAGCATGGGGTGAAGGCAGCTATGGTGTGATACAGAGATCACTCAGAACGCAGGAGCCTGCTGAACTAAAGAGGAGCCAAGCCAGTCGGCTGATTCCGGCTGTGTGGGCTCTGCAGGCCGCGAAGCCACTGCGCGCTGGCGCTTCCACGTGGTTGACTTACGTGCGGTCCCAATCTTTGAAAGACTTCAGGGCTAGCAGCGGACCATACCCAGACGTTGCCGGTGTGGTCACGGGACATCAGCGGAGAGGTTAATCTAGTTCGAGGCACGTAGCCGGTTCGCAGTCACAGTTCTCATTCGGGTAGGGCCTGTCTGTAGATGAGATGCTCATAGCAGATGCCTGTAAAAAGATCAGCAGGTATCTTTGCAGATTCGATGTTCGATGAAGCAGTTTTGCTTAGTTCTGCACAAGTAAGAGAAGAAGCTTGAAAGTGCTGTGCTTCGGCAAAATGATTTGAAATGACAGCAGGGTACTCGAGCGGCTCTAGCGAGAGAATGAGCAGAGCAGCATCATTGCGATTCATGTAGCGTAAGTATGCGTCAGTGAAACGCAGGAATTCAGACGTTGACTTCAAGCTCTGAGCCGTACCCTGTTTGCCAGCAAGGTGGCAAGCCGACTGACTTCCATGCCGGCAACAAAAACACGCTGCTCTCAGCTGAGATATTATCGAAAGCTGCCATGTTTTGACGGTGCTTCAATATGTTGCCAATCTGTTTTAGTTGGCTAGGGCTGACTTTGTTTGCCTTCAACGGGTGAAGGTATAGCTTGCTGAAGGTCTGACTGATGTGGCCGGTCATTGTGCCGGGCCCATGGCTGCTCAGGCGTTTGAACGATGGGGCCGGCAATTGGGAGTCAATCAAGCTTCTTCCAGGACTGCTGATATCAGCTCTCAGATGATTCTCTTAGGTCTTACAGTAGCTTTGGGTTTGCTTTCAGCGCATGCAGTATGCCAAGCATCATCTAGGAATTCTGACGGCGGAGATTTGTCTGGGGCGTAACCTACCACTTCATGTCCAAGTGGGACCCCACAAGCAGAGCGACGGACAGGTTTCTTGGCTACGTCGTGATGACATGTGTAACCGCTATTGGCTCGCAGAACGAATTTTGCAGGGATTTTTGTGTTTCTGATCTTTCGTGTTACCACAAGTGCCAATTGAGCAGCGATTTTTTGGGTATGTAAGGGTTATGATGGAAGTGGTTCTGCAAGAGTGCTCGCGTAGCCTGTTGCCTGCAGGGCGTAGTTGTGGCGTAGTTTCGCGTAGGCACCTATAAAGGTCTCGTCCGTGTAGTCCGTGTAGTCTGCGTATTTGATATTTTGTAAGCAAGAAGAGGTTCGTGCTGCATAGAATTGTCAATAGCCCAGGAATGCCGCGTAGTCCGCATAGGCAGCACAATAGCAAGAGTGTGTTCGCATAGTCTGTTCTGCAGGGAAAACAGCAATCCGCGTAGTTCGCGTAGGCAGACTCTCTTAGTATAAAGACTTTAACCTTAAAAAACAATGCTCAATTCGAGAGCATCGCGGCTTCATGCTTACATGTGTAGCTGTGAGAAGCCTCGATTGCTGGCTTGCAAGTTCGGGTAAGACGTAATTAGCAAACACAGCCTCAGATAGCAAGAGCTCGAGCCAATTTCCAAGGTTTGGCTGTCATCTGGATGTGCAAGACTATGCTTTTTAGGAATATTACACATCTGCGAAGAATAGGGTACAGGCAGCATGTTGAGGGGTGTGCGAAACTTGCGGAGAAGTTTGCACGGATTTTCAGAAGAGCAGAATTGCCTCTTAGAAAAATCAGCCGAAAATTTCCTGCACAAATTCACCAATC